ATCCAAGGCAAGTTAAAGTATAACAAGAACGCCATATATATCGGCAGTCATAAGATTATCCTGGCCAATATTGCACGTGAAACCGATGATTTAAACGTTTTGATTATATTTAATAAGACTTATAGCTATCGTTTCTAACAAACATCAGTCATCGAATTGTGTACTAATTCTCAAGAGGAGCCTTACCGAGCTCGATTGAAAAATAAAAGGGCAAAATTAACTTGATTCCATTACTTATAATTAAGAAATTTTAATACTTTTTTTACTTTAAATTTATTTATAAACCCTTAATTTATTAATTATTTTTTACAAACCAAACACACTTTCTCCTGCCTACTAGAATTCTTCTTAGTATAAATTAATCACATCAGAAGACTTCCTTCAGAAGAGAAATCCAAGAAAATGGGAGGACTTCCATGGCAGCTCCCACTTCTTCTATCACTACTACTAACCCTTTCCTCTTTACCTTCTTCGTCTTCATCATTTGATTCTGAAATCTTCCAACAATGTCTTCAAAACAATTCTCACCCTTCTCATCCAATCTCCCAAGCAATCTACACTCCCCAAAACCCATCTTACTCCTCCATTTTAAAAGCTTACATTCGAAATCTCCGATTCACAACTCCGGCAACACCAAAACCAGTTGTCATCATCACCGCCATGCACGAATCCCATGTTCAATCCGCCGTTCTCTGCGGGAAAAAACACAGTCTGCAACTGAAAATCAGAAGCGGCGGCCATGACTATGAAGGCACATCGTATGTATCTTCTTCCCCATTCTTTCTCCTCGACATGTTTAATCTTCGATCGGTTGACATAGATTTGGAAAAGGAAACGGCTTGGGTTGGTGCAGGAGCTACACTAGGAGAGTTGTTTTATAGAATTGCAGAGAAAAGTAGAATCCATGGATTCCCTGCTGGTGTCTGTCCGACAGTGGGTGTTGGTGGGCATTTCGTGGGAGCTGGGTATGGAAATATGATGAGAAAATATGGATTGTCAGTTGATAATATTATTGATGCAAGATTGGTGGACGTTAGTGGAAGAATTCTTGATAGAAAATCAATGGGTGAAGATCTTTTTTGGGCTATCAGAGGAGGAGGAGCAAGCTTTGGTGTTCTTCTTAGTTTCAAAGTTAAACTTGTTCAAGTTCCAGAAACAGTTACTGTATTTCGTGTAGAAAAAACTTTAGATCAAAATGCAACAGAAATTGTTTATCAATGGCAACATATTGCTCATAAAGTTGAAAGAGATCTGTTTATCAGACTGGTTTTAGATGTTGTTAAAAGGGATGAAGAGAAAACAGTAAGAGCTTCTTTTACTGCTCTGTTTCTCGGTGACTGCAAAAGACTGGTTTCCACCATGGATGAGAGCTTTCCTCAACTGGGTTTTACAGAATCAGACTGTGTAGAAACCAGTTGGGTCAAATCGATTCCGTTCTGGGCCAATATCTCCATGGACAAACCTGTTGAGGTTTTACTAGAAAGAGCTCCTGAAAGGGTATTCTCCCTCAAGAGAAAATCTGACTATGTAAAAGAGCCAATCCCAAAAGATGGGCTTGAGTTTATCTGGAAGAAGATGATAGAGCTTGAAGCTCCATCAATGGCGTTTAATCCTTACGGAGGGAGAATGGCAGAGATTCCAGAAACAGAAACCCCATTTCCTCATAGATCAGGAAATCTATGGAAGATTCAGTATTTAGCAAACTGGAATGAAGTAGACATTGAAACTTCGGGTAAGTACATAGAGTTGATGAGAAAGCTTTATAGTTATATGACTCCATTTGTGTCTAAGAATCCAAGACAAGCTTTTTATAGTTACAAGGATCTGGATTTGGGATCTGCAGATTGGAAGAGGAAGGATTGTTGGGGAGGAAGAGGAGATGATTATGGGATTAGGTACTTCATGGGAAATTTTGAGAGACTGGTTAAGATTAAGAGCAAGGTCGATGGAGATAATTTCTTTAGACATGAACAGTCCATTCCTACTCTTTCAATGAGTAGAGGATGCTGTGAAGTAGGAGATAATAGCTATGCTGACGTCATCAATGGTGGGTATGCAATT